GACCAAAACAAATGGTAGTCGGAAAGGGTACAGTCTGGTGAATAAGTCGCATGTGGTAGCACTTCCCAACAAAGTGCTTCTAACATATCCTTGACAAGTTTTGTGACGTGCGCCGAACGTTGTCTTGAAGCAAAATCACTTTATACTGTCTTGTTTCATATTCTGGTCGTTTTCTGTGCAATGCTCGTTTAAAACAGATAATTTGTTCTCGGTAGAGATGCCCTGTCGCTGTTTGACCAGATTTCAACAGCTCATAGTACACGACACTCTTCTGATCCCACCAAACACAGAATATTGCCCTTTTTCCGTAGGTATTCCGCTTTAGCGTCGATGTTTTAGGTTAATTGGGGTCGCAAATGGTTTTTCGACGTTTGTGGTTATCAAAATATATCTATTTTTCATCTCTAGTGATAATATGATGCAAAAACCCTTTTCTTTGTTGCCTAGCAAGCAGAATTTCGCAGATAGTTTGTTGCCTTTTAATGTCTCTTGGCTTCAGTTCATACTTCAGTGACCCATTTTTCTTTCTTATAGACCCCAATGCTTTCAAACGATCGGAAATAACTGATTGAGCACAATTTAATGCTTCTGCAAGTTGTTTTTGCGTTTTACATGGCTCTTCATCTACCAATGCCTACAATTCTTCGTCTTCGAATGTTCTTAATCATCCAAAATGCATTTTGTTTTCCACATCTAAATCACCACTTTTAAAGCGTCGAAACCATTCTCTGCATGTTTTATCGGAAGGAGCACTATCACTATAAACTTCTACAAGCATTCGATGCGCTTCAGCTGCAGTTCACTTCCATTTGAAGCAAAAGATTAACATTTCGCGCAAATGATGCTTATTCAGCTCAAATTTCAACATTTTCGGTGCAGTAAAAAACAATTTTATTGATGTGAATTTTATTGACAGATGGTGAAACCAAAAATTAAACTTGGTTTAGACATTAGAGTTACTGACAGTTCTAGCTATAGTTACTCGCCGCTAGATGGACGGAACTTTCCGATTTACCTAATATTAAATGTCAAAGTGCGAAAAGTGATTATTTCTTTAGGAATTTTTGAATATTATGTTAGTTCGATTGATATTCTCTTGTTAGTAGAGTGTTAAAGCTATGCATTATATCATCAATTATGTTTATAATCATTTGACATAAATTTATGGAGACTCTCTGTGTTGAATTAACTATTATTTTACTAACAATATTGTTATGGACCAATTATCTTACGAAATCGTGACAAATGAGAACCAATCGTCAGATGAATGGAAAGTGAAAAGTTTAATCTTAACCCTTTCGCGGTGGAGTGCTCTGGAAAGAGTTGCGCTCTAAGCAGCCGATGCCAGATCGACCGCGCGGACCAAATATGCGAGTCGTTCCGAACGCAGTGTGTATATAATATTTGACTATGTAAAAAAAACCTTTGCACAAGAAGCGTATGCTGCTAGCACGTCAAAAACAACTTAATGGACATTAATGGCAGTTGTTGATAACAAACGAACAGCGCCTTCGTACGAAAAGAGCGGCTCCGGATGGGCGCCATCTGGCGCTGTTCGTTCACCGCGGATAAATTTGCCTGAGCGCCGAACGGCGCTGTTCGCTGAGAATGAGCATCTATAGCTGAGCGCCTAAAGGCGCTGTCCGCCGCGAAAGGGTTAATGTTGAGAAAAGAGATGTATGAACACACATACNAAGAATCTCCGGCATCCTTTCATCTCTAACTTGGCGTCGAATTTGTCTACCTTTATTGTGATCCGGTTGAAAAATACCTTTATTGGTAATTCGGTTAGCTAAGCGAGAAAAAACTTTGTACGAATGAGGAGCGCGATCTGGGTATCGTTCTCGCCATAATCTTGCAGCTGCTCTAAATTGACCATCACATTCACCTAAAATAAGCATCATATCACAAGCTTCCGCGTTTAAATACGACATGGCTGGTAAATGAGAATTTTGTTACACCTTACGTGACAGTATCAGACATGTCATACATCACGACTGGGTAATGTTAATGCCGGCGGTACCGTAACTTTCAATCCTCATAACTCGAAAAGTACTGATTAAAAGAACGTTTCATTATAGAGTTTTGGAAAGCTCTCGAGGTAAGCTACAAGAATATGCATTGAAAAATGGGGATTTCTATTTAAGAAATTAAAGGTGACCTTCACGTGATCTTCAAACGACTATCCAAGGTCAAACCAATGACACCATCTTATGTGCCCCTCGAAGTCACAAAACTTTTGTCTGAAACATTTTTCTTTAAAATGTCGCGTTTACGAAAAAATCGGGTGAGACGGGTGATCTGGGACACCCTGTATATATAGTTTTAGCGTGATATGTGACACGAGGAATGCGTAACCGCTATACTTTCAATATATTGTTGTATATTAGTTGTATTTTGATTTTATCGCTAGTTTATATACATTTTTAACTTACATAATTTATCTAAGTATTAGAATAACAATCGGGAAATTTACCCAATCGCTTCGTTGGTAAATTGAGTAAAAGGAATCGACGTTCATTCTCGCGATCACGGAGATAAAAGGAAATAATAAAAGAAATAACGATTTTTTCTTCCTCAATAAGATGCAAGAATATACTTATCCATCTCACCTTATTTCATCTTCATATCAGGTACGTATATATTTTGAATTTTTGAAAATATATATTGTCACGTCCTGGACGGTCCGCGACATGCGTAGCGGGAGCGGCTCCGCCACGCTTAACAGCTAATTAAGCAGAGAGGGAAGGTGGGAAGGTTTTACGCATGGTTTTGAAGTTGAATCGCGGAATAAATAGGATTATTAAGGGAAACAACAACCAAATAAAACAAAATAGATATACAATTTATTACTGTTTTGGCGAATTTTTATAACTTTCACGTCGAGATGGCAACAGTGTTTCTTTTTCGCTAGGTCGCGACGAGATTAAATGAAGGTTTACAACGGGACAGTATAGTTTCAGCGATAATGGTCCTCAAAATAAAAATAATATAATAGTAACTTACATTCGACGTCGGCTAATCCGAAATAGTAATAGAGTGAATTATGTCGCCTTGGAAAGAAGAGAAAACGGGAACCGTCTTGAGTTCACTTGAAATGACTAACTATGAAGCACGGCTGCGTTGGTAGAACTTGATGAAAAACTAACTCAAGGAGTCACCAGGACTGAATTAAGAACACTCGTGGCTGCACGGATCAGACTTGCGAGAAAAACTAGTTGTAGTCTGAACTAAAAGGCTTCGCAAGACTGACTCGAGAAACAAAGAATTGACTGATCGAACTAAAGCGGGCTGACAGGAAAAACTACTACTGAACTGCTTAAAGACGAGGCTTTTATTTATAAGCTCGTCCTAATCTCCCTCTTCTTTCTGCAACTGAAATGGTCAGCATTTTCGGTGGGAACACCAACGGACTTGGTGTAGCACGGTGGCCTTAGGTTTACAAAGATAAGACGATAGACGGATCGTACACATCCGTTCTCACGGAGTGGAAAAATTTAGTTTATCTAAATCGCAAATGATAAAAATCTCATAACATAACTCATTTCATACACCGAGCATGATCGGTGAGACAATAAGGTCAGAAGGCGCAGAATTATCGGATCAATTTTGAATTTTAATACAATAATAGAAATGAGGGGAGTTATCAGATTTTCCATAAATAATAAGTGACGCGGAGATTAGGCTTTCGCGCGCTGATAAGTCACGCTCATGGAGTTTTCAAGGCTGATCCTTGAAGTGATTCTTATTTTGCTTAAAATTTGGTGGTCGTGCGTAACTTCTGCTATTCGGCGGCAGTGACTGCCGGATCTAATTTAATTGAATTTAATGAGCTCGAAAAGCGGTAAGTAAAAAGTGTGAATTATTTTAATGAAACAAAATATAACAACGATACGGTCGGGACTACAAACTAAAATTATAATTGGTTTTTGAAGCCGAAACGGTACGATGTCAACAGGCGACTACCGGGATGAAAAAAGAGTGTAGAGAAGGGAGAGTGAGAAAGAAGAGCGATTGAAAACAGAGGGAGGAGGGAGTTTCGGGATACCTCGGGACGTAACAATATAATACTCTAATATTTATTAAATATATAAAATATATTTAATTCTTTGATGCACTAATTGTACGAGAGAGAGAGAGAGAGAGAGAGAGAGAGAGAGAGAGAAAGGATTTGTGTCTTTTGTATTTTGTAATTAGTACAAACATTTCTCTTACCATACAGTTCAGCAACTATTATTTTCCTTGGTTTAAGTATAAAATTATGCCGCTAAATTATACAATTATTAATTTAATATTTGAATATAATTAACATTTAAATATAATTAGGAAAGCTGAATGTAAATTATGTATCCTCTAAATTTCCTAGAGTAAAATTTCACTCGAAAAGTTGAGTGACAACTGAGTTATTTGAATTTAAATTATTTAACATTTATGTAGATTGAATTCTACATTCTAAATCGTCGAGTGAATATTTTCAGAGTGCATCTGATATGTGCTATCATCACAGGAATAAATTTATTCTAATTAATTAAAACATTCATTTATGTGAAATCAAAATCCATTTTAAGTCGGAGTGAAATATTTTTGCGATTTGAAGTGGTAGTATTTTCATTATCGTTTTAATTAAATTTTGCTTGTTTTAAATGAGATTTTACTCTAAGAAGTTTAAATGCAGGCAGTTGTTCATTTAAATTTGCTAGCACAGTTGGAACGGTTTCTTTCAATCTATATGTATAAAAAGAGTCGTTCGTTTCGAATATCCAAATTCAAATTTTCCTTTTTCCGCAAAATGATCTTTTTAAAAGTTCTCTCTTTCTCTCTCTCTCTTTCTCTCTCTCTCTCTCTCTAACTCTCTCTTTCTCCCTCTCTCCCTCCATCCATCTCTCCATCCCTTCTTCTTTTTATTCTCTGTCTTAAATTATAATTTCACTTGAAAAGTAGAATTGAATATCAATCAAGTCACTTGAATTCGAGTGATATTGATATTCCATTCATGTAATGTCATTGTGCTTTATTTTACATTAAAAGAAGGATTTGGTAATAATTACCAAGATTTGGCTAAATAATTGTATTTAAATTGTTTGGTTACTGCACCCGTATCATTTAGTACTCATATATTGTACAAGACATTTTAACTTAAGATGTTTCAGCCATCACATTTGATCGTTAACAATTAAGGTTAATGTAAAGAGAAAATTCCTCTATCATTTTGCAAACAACACGCATAATTTCGAGTTATTAATGATTGAAAACGGCTATCTATTGAGGTTCTTCCTATACAGCACAATAAAATTGCAGATATATTGCAGTAATATTTTTTGCAAGGCTGCAAAATTGCAGAAACATTATAAAATTTCGCTACAACGTTGCTGTGACATTTCAAAAATAGCAAAATGTCTGCTCATAGAAATATTGTAATATAATGTTGTAGAAACATTGCAATATAATATACTGGGGGCGTCAGCTAAATCCGGGCAAAATAGACAACATATTATCAAATATTTATTGGTAATACGTACAAAATTACATAAAAACCTTTTCTCGTTTCATTTGTGGAAACGTTATAGACAAAAATTACTCAATGTAACCACCGTCTGCCGCAATTGCTGGTTCGATCCTGGGCCTGAAGCGATCGCACGCTCTCTGCAACGCCGGCTAGTCCATATTGAAGAATACTGCTTCAATAGCGGCCTAGAGAAATGCCACATTAGGATGTCTCGACTTGTTTATAATCCTTTCAATCACGCTCCATACATAATAGTTTAACGGATATAAATCTGGACCATTCGGAGGACAAAACTCTTTGCTCCAAAACTTGTCCATGTTGTCTGACAGCCAGTTTTAGATCAAATGACTCGTATAAGCTAGTACGCCGTCCTGTTGGCAGATGTACGACCTTCCGGAGGCCGCAGTGTCTATCCATGGCTTGACTACTGTTGTCAAAACAAGTCAATATATTTTCTTTGTGACTGTTTCTCCTCATTAAAAAATTGCGTAGGTATGACGTCACCCTCGCTGGAGACAACGCTTAGGACGTGAACACTGGCTGGAAACTAGGTCCTAGCTACAACGGGGACATCTTCGGGGTTATAGGCGAGCTAACGGTATTTCCTGCGGTTCACTTTTGCGTCGATGGTAAACATTTTTTCGTCACAAAAACTCGTTTTTAACGAACACACAAGCAACAGATTAGTATTTGTCCTGACACGCGTAACGTGCCACGACATGCAACCTCAGCTTTTAGGCTATACGCTACCAAACATCTATTCTATCTTTCCAGCTTTGGCAACGATTGACAAGAAAGCGGGCAATGGAAAAATCCAGCAGCGCCTGTGGGCGTACTTCGCAGGATAGGCAGTTCGGCCGTGACCGTACGCGCCTCCTAACCCTCCAACCGCGCGCGGGGTGTGCGGTAAACCGCTAGCCCCCACGCAGCCTACGCACGTGCCACGTCCACGGAGACCGCGGAGAGGTCTGCCCATTTGTATCCCAATCCTGGACACACGCTCTGACCCTATTGACTCTATTGATACTTTGGACAGGTAATAGGATTAGGTGTTCTAAATGAAATGGGATATGACTGGATGCAAGGATACAAGATCCTGCTCGTCAGCCATTGGATAACGGGTGGGACCCTGCCTAGTTTGGAAGCTAAACTCTACCTAGGAACCCAGCTAAGAATGCCTAAACAACCCGGGCATGTGGTGATCTCGCGAAGCTTACGAGGCCACACCCCCATAACCGAGGTCTCAGACAACCCTCAACTTAGTTGTTCCAGAAATCTACCAATAACCTCCCTTTATCCAAAGGATCTCCTTGCAAAAGTGGGCAAAGACCGAGAAAGCCTCTGGAGACGACACCAAGAAAGGTGCTGCCGTCGACCATTTCCAGGCCCCGACCAGAACGAATTCCCGCAGAGCCTTTCTCTGCGGTTCGAAGAACTGGCAATGGAGGAGGTGATGAGCCGCAGTGTCCACGCCATCCCCGCAAGCACACATCCCACCGTCTACAAGTCCCAGACCCACGAGGCGCCTCTGGAAGTTGCCATGTCCGATGATCATTTGCGTGACGTAGTGGTCGGGTTTGAACTAGGACGCACCAACCCTAGCCTCGACATCGCCGAAGAAGGCACGTGTGATGTGACCTTTGACAGAAGAAGACCATCTATTCTGCCACATCTCCATTGTCGCAACCCTCACGAGGTCTAGCGCTTCCTTTTGGTTCCCTGCGAAAGGAACAATCCTATCTCCTTGGCCATCCTCTCTTTTCTAACTTCGAATCGCGCCCCGGATTCCGTGAAAAGGATGTCGACGGGAACTGCACCCGCAGCCACACAGAGCGACTCAGTCGATGCCGTGCGATACGCGGCGGTCACCGAAATGAGCACTCGGCGCTGCAGAGACCTGAGGACTTTCACGTCGCCCCTGGTGAACAGGTCGGTCCACCCAGCGGCAGCGTGTGCCACCGTCGGTGCGAACACGCCCCGGTATATAGCCGAGAGCGCCCCAAAACGCAGGACCCATTTACATCCCGCCTGCCTGTCTAGCTTACTAAAAAGCGAACCGACCGTTTCGCTGAGATATTTGCAATGGGTGGATACACCCATTCCTCTATCTATGTGGATGCCAAAGTACCTAACTGATTTCTTAAATTGAATCTTATTATTTCCTAATCGGATGGTCGGTGGCCTACTCGCGAGGTCAGCCTTTTTGGCCCTGACCGCTTTTCGTTTTTGATCGGGACGCGCTCCTCCCCGTCTGCCTATTGGAGCCCTTTTGACAAGATCACTCTTGAGGAAAATTGCCTCAGTCTTTCGCGACGAGATCTAATTTGACAAAGTTACACCATTTCCCTATTTCCAACTTGTTTTCTTTTTGACGTTTTCTCTTTCCAGAGACAGTGTAAACTACTACACAGTGTGTGTACTTGACTTGTGAGAACTGTTGGAAATATCAGAAAGGTAATGTTAGATCAGAATCACCTTTAGTGAGATTATAGTTTGCAGTAAATATTTCACAAAAATATTCTCCTTTATTTGTATCAAGTACATACTATTTGTATAATTTCAGCTACACTGCAAATGAATTGTCATTACTTGAATATTAAATGAAATAAAATGTCAGGTAGTAAAAAGTAACAATTTGNATTTTTTCTCAACGCACCATCTTAAAATATAATTCAGTTCAATATGTAATACTATATATCCTAATACTTTCATTGTTGGTAATAAGTATATTCTAAAGAAAGATAATATTTATTCCAAATATGTTTTCAATTTATTTTATTTTTGACGTTTTGCCTTTCCAAACACATATGCTGCTCAATAGCTTTGTCAAGAACTGTCGTGTCATGTGGTGGAACCTGTAATGAAACAAAAATTA